TTGCTTTGCCATAATCAAACAAATCAAGCGAAACCCTTAGGCATAAAACTCACCTGAGCGTTGCCATACTAATATAAGCAAACACAAATTTTAATCTCCATGCAAGAAATAAACCTCTTTCCCTTTTCTAACAAACAGAATATTTTGCTAAAGGTATTTTTATATAATTAGTCAAACATTTAATGTTAATGTTATTATGATATTTTTTTTGTTTCATAGTTTGTTTGAGGCTTGAGGTTAATTGTCCTTATTTTTAAATTTTAAACTTCTGGTCAATATTTTAAAGCCTATTAATATTTCACTCGTAAAAGATTTATTCAGCGTAAAATGCAAAATGAAAGGAACGGGAAACAAATAAATAAATAGAATTAAATAAAATAATATCTGAAAGCTTTCAGATTTTACATTACGCGCAAAGGCGCGTTTTTTTAACTTTGGTTGGGTGCTACCTTTATTTATTAAATAGCATGTTTATCGCATGTAAGCCATAAAATTCAATTCAACAGTAATATCGCAAAATAATTTTAAAATGAGCTTTAGAATTTCCGATACACGATCTCGGGCCCTGGAGAAAAACCTTTTTACTTTTCCTGTACAGTATTGGCACAGCTCGCTTTGAAATCGTCGTTGATTTTGTTAATCAAATATTAAGTGTTACAAAATATGAAATCGATAATAAAATAAATTTCAATTTCCAGATTCAGGCTTCCAAATGCCCATATTCAGTGGAAGATTACATAATTCAAATTTTGATGGATCAAGGTACTGTTGTTTTATCACAATGCGAGAAACATACACACACATTCATTCAAATTCTTCATTATTTAATTTCTTTATATATAATACAGGGATCTAATATTTTGTAGCAACAAGTTGAAGAGTGAACCGACATTTTTAATGAACTAACTCAAAATGCCAAACCGAAATTAATAGCCCTTTTGGAATAACACCCTTTGGGGCTAAAAAAAAAAAAAAAAAAAAAAAAAACATGAGTAGAAAATAAAAGCACATTTCCATTTATTACTTTGAAGAACAATAAAGTACCCTTCTGTTTTCTTCTTTAAACGAAAAAATTTTCTCATTAAATGAAGTATTATATTTTTTTAATTCCGAGTAACACAGACATGCATATACTATATACATATATTGTTACGTTATTTTTCTTCCTTTACGTTATGTACGTACGGGGTTCGTACGGATTTGAAGTGAATAATGACAACAGCACTCAATGAAGTATCGAAACACACTTTATTTAACCAATTTTAATTAGGACAGCTCCAAAATCACGTTTACAGTCGTCAACACAGCCTCCAGGTTATCAACCTATAACGGCGGAGACAGCTTCACTGCAAAGCACCAGAGTACAGCGGGCAACTCTGCTCGATCCTTTTCCGAACTCCACGTACTCTCGAGATTCTCCACACTACAACTCGCGATGCACTCGACGATACATTAGAGTGCATCTCCCGACTCTTCGGTTCAATCGTTCTCGGAGAACACACTCTCTCAATGCACTAACCGCGATACACTAAGAGACTTTCGATGTACTCAACGACCCACTTGGCACTCGTTAACCGACTGTCGACTCGATCGATTCCACACGTAACTGACTGACTCACTCTCCGCGTATCAGCAGGGTTCATATATAGCTTCTGGCTTGTGTTCGAGAACATTCTGGGATAAACCGGTAGAATTCGTTCCAAAATGTTCCCCATCCGTCCATGGCATGTCGCCAATTTTGTCGCCAGATGTGCGATTTCTTGCCAAATGGCGAAAATTTTGTCTCCAACTTCTGTCAACCCTAATCTGCTTCGCGGAGTATCACACCGCGCCTAGACATTTTGTAACAATATATACTATATACAGCCTTTCATGTGAGTTCACATTACTTCATAGAGCCTTACTCATTAAGACATATTAGCAAAAATGTATAAAGTGATCTTCATTTTATTTTTAAGTAATCTGCTTGAATTATACTATTTATGTAGCCTCTATGTTTCATGTAATTACAGAAAGTTTCTGTATTAAATTTTCTAACATAACACGTGTGGATTTTCCTGCATCAATTACGTTAGGAGTTTTAAAGTCTACGTTATCTTTTGTCCAGCTCTGCTAAGCCGCAGAATTTGCGCAATGACATCAAAAGTTTGTAATTATAAGTTAGATTATTATTATTATTTTATATTTCCTCCTGTTTCGATTCTGAGCTTGCTTGAACACATAAAATTGTCGTAGCTGACGTCATCATCTAGACCTTACAATCAGAATTTTGCCCATGATTTAGTACTTCACTTTTTCGTCTAAAAACAAAATTTGAAATTTGAGAACATGAGAGGTTTGGGTTTGGTTTATTTAATTACCGCAAAGCCTCGAGGGCTATCTGCCTAAGGGGGTGTGTCTTCGTAGAGGATTTTCTAAGGGAAACTGGCTTGTATACACGTCACATATGAGAAAACCTATGGAGCCAAGCACGTTCGCCGGACTCGAACCTCGGTCTGTTCAGCGAATTTACTGCTTGGCTGCTGGTGGGCCCGTATTAGTGGAGAAAAGATTTTTCTTAATTTCTAAGAAATATACTTCGAGGAACACAACTTACATATAATGTTTCTTCTTTTAATTGCAGGATATAAATTTTGAGCTAAGCAAAAATTTTTATGCGTATATTAACTAATATTTGATGATAAAATGTAGTAATGTGATTAACTGCTTTATCCTATTCCTGCAGAATTAACGTTTGACTGAAATAGAAGCAATTTGTTAGAATTGAATTAGAATAAGTTGTTACAACATCTGTTAATTTAGCAGAATTTATGCTTTCAGAGAAGTTCTCCAGAACTGAATCACGTCCAAAGCAATCGATGTGTTAAGGCGTATTTATTGAAAATATTCTTACGATCGTCACAAACTGTATTAATGAAACAGGAATCTTAGCCGACAAATTCTGTACTATTTGGATCAAAAGCTGAATGCTCCGTTCGGATAAAGGCCCGGAATTCAAGACGACATAGTGATGAATAGCGTAACGAATTTCCTGCTAGATTATACAAAGAATAATTAGACTAGTTGGGAACCATTCTGGTCTGCCAGTACTGCTAAATTTGCAAAATAATAGACCAGGAAAACTTAATAAAGGGAGCGCATGCTCCTACCTACCGATTTTACCCAAACTTTATAATTACAGAAGATTTGATACTGAATCTAGTTTTCAAAGGCAGAGATTGCACCTGTGAAATATGAATTTGAAAATAGAGGCTAATATTTTAAGTAGCATATGTATTATTTAAACTCTATCAAATCCAATAATAAATAAATTTTAAAATAAATATTTAAAACTCGTACTTTTCCATAACCGTTATTATTGATTCACGTTTGTATAATGTTGTGCGTTACTTAAATACATCAGGTATGGAAAAATAATTTACTTCTTACCATTGCATGTCGTTATTAAATTTTGCTTATAATCTGCGAATGCATAATTAGAATGTATAAGAAACACTTAAAGAATATCTTGTTTTTGCAAAATATACATAATACTTTTTTTTTTTTTTTTTTTTTTTTTTTTTTGCAAAATATACATAATACATTCAAAATCGTAAACAACCTTGTATTTAGCGTACGTATATTGAAACACTCATTCGATTTCGAGGGCGGCTAAAGGTTCCTCCTCATCAGGAGAAAGAAATACCTAGAAAGAAGAAAAATAAAGGGGAAGGAGTCTTAGAAACACGTGGTCCTTATCAGCACTGCACGTGGTTATAACCGGATTTTTAATCAGAGTTGCACTGGCCGCCTACTTTTACTGAGCCAGGCTATCTTATCAAACATATAACACAAAGGACAAGAAAAATGGCGAAGTTAAAAATATAACTTTAGCTGCCCTCGAAATCGATTGAGTGTTTCAATATACTTACGCTAAATACAAGGTTGTTTTTACGATTTTGATTGTCACATTAGCGTGTTTCTCTTCTAGTCTACATAATACATGTTTTATATTTTGCAAATATTATATAATTTTTGCAAAATATACATAATATATATAGTGATCTGCATTATCAGCTAATATTTTTCTCTCATTTTCAAATCTAATATATTTTTTATTATTTTAGAATCAGTTTTATTATAGTATTCATCAATCAAAAACTATTCAGAGTGTAATTTCAAATAGTTGCATGATAATATAAAGCACATGTGGGTCTAAAACGACCCTTATGGAATAAGAAATGTATACTTATAATTAATAAATTATGTTGATATTAGAGTTATTGCCATAGATTGAAATATTAGCCAAATTATTTCTTTTTGTTAGGCCGAAAAATTAGGTTTTGATATTTCAGGAAAAGAACTGGAAGTTAGAAATAGTTGCGAGAAATTTACACTCCATTGCAGTAATGTATTTAATAAGTGCAATTTTAGTTGCGTAATCAGGCAATTATGTGACTACATCTGCTTTACGTATTTTCACTTGAATGGGTATTTCAATTTCATTTGAATTCGTACAGTGGTTTCATAGCAATTTCAGTAAATCATGTTTTGGCAATGTGTGCAATAATGTGTGTTTAATACTATTAAATGATGCAGCGAGTCGTTTTTAATCGTCTATAAATACATGTACATCGCAAAATGTGTTATTACATTGTATATTTCCACTTATATGTGGATGTTAATAATTATACTGAGCCAGTATCACATATTGTACAATATAGTAAAATCCTTGGTTCTTGCATCCTTGCATCTTTGAACTATTTTCCGCATTGCGTCTTTAAATTCTATCGCTCCTTCAATTTATCGAACTGCGTTTTTGAAAACTTTCGATATTATTTTTTAATACTTTTTAAGTAGGTGTTTCTTAGCTTTTTCTAGTTTTTCCATCATTAATTGTTCACATTGTCAAGGTAGCATTTTACACTCAGATGCTCATTTCAGGAACAATTTCGTGGAGAATTTCAGCGCCTTAGAATCGAATTTTATTTCCTTTATTAATTCGTGTATTTGTTTTTCAGAATACACTCTCCATTACAAAACAGATGATGGTGAATGGATGTCTCAGCCGCTGGGCAGCAATATCGATCATTATGTATTGAAAGGTCTCCGATGTGGTAGCAGATACCAGCTTCATATGACAGCATCAAACAGCTTGGGAACTGGGGAACCAAGTGCTCCAGTGTTTGCAAGAACTAAAGGAGCAGGTGCAGTGTTGACTTCTTTTTCGCTTTTCTCAGTAACCTCATTATGATGACTTTCAGATTCTACGTAAATAGAGTTCCTTCGGAGTCTTCCCGAAAACTTTGCAAATGGATATTAATCTTCTGTGGCACAGATAAATATTTCTCAATCTAATTATGAGAGCTGAATAAATAATCTCTGCAAATAAGATACATGTGAATTTAACCGCGGGGATTTTAATTTCATAGAATTTTGATGGATATTCACAAATAGCGTAAATTACCAAAGTACTTTGTTGAATTTGGAAAGCGTTATCTTAATATAAATGAATAATTGAGTTAAGGAATACTTGAGGTAAAGATTATTTACTTAAGTTTACAAAATCTATGGAATTAAAACTCCTATATGAAAAAGTATTGCCAACATGAAATTATTAATTGTTCATCAGCAATTTGTGATGCATAGTATAGATTCCCCACTGTTATAGCTTTAGCATATTTGCTATACAATTCTATGCTTACGTGTTAGGTATAAAAATTTGCAGTGTTCAGCCTGCAATTAAATATGTACATCTGTATTAGTTTCGTTACTCATTTTAATTATACGTATATAGTATTATGGAAAGCATGAATATTATTATAAAAGCATGTATATTAAACTCTCTCCTTCTATACATTACACACATACACATATATAGATATATAAGCGTGTTAAAGCTATATATACATCTTAATATATATGCTCATTTTGAATGTCACACATTTTCCCTTATATTGTAGAACTTATGCACTTCCAAAATTAAAATTATTTTGCATCTGAAAACATAAAGAACTAATTCATACGTAGAATGCAAAGGAATTACATTTTATGAAAAACGTAGTAATAAATTTGATTTATGAAACTAAAGCAACAAAAAATTGCTACAGACGCTAAGAATGCAATGCGTGAAATAGTTAAAACCCCAAATAAAACTGTTTGAGCACCCAATTTTTATCTACTTAAATCGATTGTTGTTACTAATCTTGCTCGTCTGATGTCAGAACAAGCCCACGAAATTCATCCTGGCAAGGAGGCAAGATTGCGTCTCGGGCACCATAGGGGTGACAGTACGACCTTGCTCAGGTCCGCCCCCAATTTTGAAGTATAGTACCACGAGGGGACAGGTCAGAAGTTCTCCCACTCCTCTTCCCTTACCACCAACATCTGGAGAGGACTTTCGGCTCGCGTCCTACTTTGAGTGCTGCTTGCCGCACAGACACTATGCATTTACTAATATCTATGACTTCTCCAGAATTCAAACCTGGGCCCTTAGGCATACTATTCAGAATCACTAACCACCTTTCCGGTTGGTCGGCACTTAAATCGGTAATTGTCTTAAAAGCCTCGTTCTGTTATAGCTGTAGTTCTGCGATACGCATTGAACGGCTTTGTCCATAGGACTTTTTTTTCAGGTAATTCTGATATGATTTCTACTATTTTCCATCTCGGAGACTTGGTATTCCAAAATCGATAAAAACTACTGATCTTCCAGTTTTTTTGCTTAAAATATACGTTATAACCAGATTCGTGTGTTACAGAACGTTATTCGTGTGTTACAGAACAAAACGAGGTGGAGAAAATTTTACTTGCATTTTTGTGATTTATTTTTGCGTAATTTCCGGATAGATAAGGTTTCAAATACGCTGAGAAGAAATTTCTAAAGCGATCTAACTATAATAACAGGTCTTTTAAAAATTTGTCAGCGTTTTATATGTCATATCCATCGGAGGATTTATTTTCATTTACTTAATTGGTTATTTATTAAACATCAGTACAGCAGAAGAGGAATGTAATTAGATGTGACTGCAATTATCAGTAAATTCTGTTTATACCTATAAAGTGATTGATTTTAATACAAAGTGTAGTTGGAAAAGCAAATAAAGCAAATATTTTTCCCCTTAGTTCAGCAAATATTTCTATGTCTATTATCAGTCAACTTTGTTTGCTTCTAAAAGAAGAAAAGAAATTACATATGCTGCTGAACAGTTTTAAATAAAAGGTTTTTTTGTCCGTTCAAATTTCAAGTTTTGCTTTTTGAAAAAAAATTGAATAACATGACAGTTTATTTATTGATTATAGATATTTAAGAAAATATATTACGCTTGAATCGTATATTAAAATTGTTTTGAACGTGTGTTACAGAACAAAACGAGGTGGAGAAAATTTTACTTGCATTTTTGTGATTTATTTTTGCGTAATTTCCGGATAGATAAGGTTTCAAATAAAAGTTTATAATTTGTATTTATATTCTCTAACTGAATAGTAAAAAGTTTTATTTTAGATATAGGTGTACTGATATTCAGTAAGCAAAATATGTAAGAGATTTGAAATGGTTTAATGAGCATTTAGGGAGTTTACATTCTTTAAACTGCGTTTTATAAGTTTGTATTTTTTTAGATAAATACTTGAAATCCTGCAACCTGCACGGATATAGATTAAATTATTAAAATTTTACTGCTTTTTATTTTTATGCTTGATAGGAACAAGAATGGGTTTTGCAAAATATTGAAAAGAAAAAATTCTTAAGTGAAAATGTAATTGAAATCATATTTTTTATATAAGTATTTTTCACAGACACTACTTCTTTAATTGCAAAACCGATCATTTATGTCCTTAAAACCATTCTAATAAATTTAATAAAAAAGATTGGGGTAAAGGCATTGAAAATTGTAGGTGAAGAAAAATATTTTAGTAGTTAAATATTTCTTCAGAAATTTTTAATTAAAAAAAAAAATACTGGTAGAATTTTTTTAAGCTTAAAATCCTTTTTCTAACATTACCATTTAATAATATCCTTAAAATAGAGGAAAGTTCTTAAATAAATAAAATCATCCAAAATGTACCAAGGTTTTCCTTAATTAACAAGTTTTAGCAGTCACAAACTCCGCAGCGAAATGCAGTTATTAAACTTTGATCAAAATAACGCAAGTCTATTATAAATCAAATTATTCAGACACCTCCTTTGTGAATATTATTTTTTAGAATGATTGAACATTATATGTACAGCGAGGATCCTGATTTTATCGCAACACTCCGAGCTCTTTTTAATATCTTCCCTTTCGTACTTTATAGATCTATTGAAAAATAAGTTTACTTTGCAGATTGCTAATAAGTTAAATTATTTCTTAAAAATTCGAAGAGACGCACGATTGATATTCTGCGGTACTGTAGATTAGGGCGCTGTTCATAAATAATTTTTTCCTCTTGATTAAAAATTATAGATTTAAACTTGCGCAAAATTGCTTGAGAAAGATGCCATGCGTACTGTATTTTATAACACTATTTGAATGTACCATTATTTACAAAATTCATTCATCAAAATTGTTTTTAAATCCTATAGATTATAATTATAAGATTATTTATCAAAGCAGTGGAACCTCGACCCTCGAACATCATATGTCGGCATAGAAAAAAGGCTTTTCAATAAAACTTCTATACTGGAAAAGTTTTACATATTTGGAATGATTTAAAAAGCTACATAGGTTAAGAATATGATAAAGAAAAATGAATTTCCCACCCTCCAAATATACAAAACACTAAGAGAAACTGAATATATTGTAAAAGAGTAAAATATATTGTTTAAGTTTATCCTTTTATACCATAAACATAAACAAAGCAATAAAACTCCGATTTTTATATCTAGTTTTTCTAATACTGTAAGATCTGCAATATCTTACATAGTATATAAGATAATGTTGATATTTATATCGTTAGACAGGTGATTCATCTTGCAGGCATAGGACATTAACTTAGCTGTCGATAAATGCAGTATAGTAACTGTCAACGTATTTCTTCTTTCTTAACTATTTTCTCCATAACATTCTTTTTATCTAACTTATTTTGCTGTAGATCTACGCAATATATATTCGCAAATAAAGCTTATTCTTGCGGTGATATGTAAATGTTCCCGAAACAATGCGCTATCAGTAGTTAACATTTTGGAAAAAAAAGATTTATTCAAAATTTAAGCCAGTCCTTTTAAAAACGATCAAAATTATATTCAGTATGTGGTTTGCAGCCACCCAAAGTGTTGTTGCTTAAAGCTTGCATGCGCGTAAATTTATGGAAAATGCTTATATAAACTATATAACGTGATTTAATAATTTCAGCCATCAAATGGCTTAAATAATTTTGGGTAAAATTATTTATTTTATTTCACTTTAAATACAGAAATTCCTCCAAAAACAGTTTTGCTTAATATGGTTTATTAATTTTGCTTAACACTGTATAAAGAATATTTTTTACAAAAACTACCGTTACAATTAAAACACATGTATTTTTATGCGTATTATTTATCTTAAGGATCTTTTTTTAAGATAAAGCCTACAGCATCTGCAACTAAATTCCGGGAAACAACACCGTAAAAAATTTCTGTCAAAACAGAGTAGGATTCCGATCCTGGCCTCTGTCGTCTTTAGATATAAAAGATATTACTGACGATAATCGAATTTTATTAGCCTAACTGCGAGTGAAATTCAACATAAAAAGTTAAAATGAAAATATTTAAGAAAAGGTGTGACTTAAATAAGTATAGGAGCTGAATCGAAAGAATTTCGTCTTCATAGTTAGTTGAAATCGCAGCCTTTGCACATTAATTAGGTTTCAGTGCAGTGGGAATTAGCAAATATGCAATAATTGTTGCACATACACCTTGAATAGGTCAAGGATAGTGTTGGCATCGAACGACAGCAAACATAAGAATTTGACGATGATGAATTCAAGTATACTTTCCATAAGTGAAATGTACTTCGAGAGACTGCAGAAAATGTTTTCCGCTACTGAACAGACGAAAATCTAAATTTTGGTCCTGTTCTTCGTGCGAATGGCAAATATATTCAGTTACCAATAGCAAAATCAAGAAAAGGAAATTAAACAAAAGGGTCTTTTAAATAGTTTCCACCCTCCTCTCCCCAAAAAACCTAAGTTAAATTCTTCTTAAAAAAATAAAAGATCATATTTAATTTTACTTCCTTTTACCTCTGGA